GACCCCTGCTTATGGCAGTGATTTTAAGTAACAATGTCGACTGTGGGTGTGTGACTCCTTTAAGCACTACTTTTATGTGTTTTATCCCGATTTTAACAGCCCGCAGTTTGTCCATCTGAGCTCAAGTTGCAGGGATTAGTGGAGATAAAACTCACTGCTCTCAGCTGGAGGATGATCGTCTGTGTCCATTCGACTCTTGTCCTCCGTGTGATCAATCTTATAAATGCACCTCTTCAGGGAGTTCATGCTGCGCTTCTGCAAGGTCAAATACTCATCCTTCAGTTTGAGCCACTCTTTCCTTGATGTGGACAAAAGAGGAACAAAGAAATCCATCAAAGTGTTTAAGTAATTTTATTTCTGAATAAATTTTCACTTCGTTATTCATTCCTCTCGATGCGTAAAGAAAAGGGGATGTGGGGTTTTACTTTGACAGAACCCGCAGTGGGATGACTTCTTCCCCAATTTTCAGTTTCTCCTTGTGTTTCTTTTTTCTCTTCCTCTTTGCCTTGACTGCTGAATCATCTCTGTTTTCTTTCCCTTCCTCAACACCTCTCTCTGCGTCACTTTTAGTGGGCGGATCTAAAAGGGGAACAACACATTACCACAACAACTAACTCATGGTTTCAGTGCTGAAAATATTCATCATACATGATGTATTTTTAGACTGTGAAAGAAAATATATCTGTATTATTATTTGTGGATTATGGAGCAGCAGATACCGTGATCACTTACTAGTCTTTGTTAGATCTTTCTCCTTCTCTCCAGCTTCACTTTCACTTGTCTTTCTTATTTTAGATGGTACGTCACTTTCAGATCCATCTGCTGTCTGTGACCGTCGTCTTTTTTTCTCTGACAGTTTGCCCGGTGTCTTCTGGGTGCCCGAGCCGTCTGATTCAAAATCTCCCCCGACTGAGTGCTTCCTCTTTTGCTCTGATGACTCTGCTTCCATCGCCTGCTCTTTGGCTTCTTCGGCAGGAGCCTGTACTGTGGCACCTTCTTTCTTTTTCTTCTTCTTCCGCTTTTTCTTTTCTTCTTCTTCCCCTGTGGCATGTGAATGACAAGACATATTTCTTGATATGATGCCAGCATAACATTTCTCTTGAGTCCAGGATTTTCAGTTTATAGGTGACAGAGAGAAGCAGAGATGTAAAAGAAATGCAAATTAATTGTACCTGATGGTGGATTATCGGCTGGCAGAGGGATGGGCTTCCTATTTTTCGTCTTTGGGAAAATCCCTGGCTTCCTGGGAGCATCTTCAGGAGGATTATTGAGCATCTGTTTCAAAGATCAAAATTTTCCATGAGTATTCTTGCTACAAAAAACAAACACTACATTACGACATTCCAGGAAATAATAAGTCGTCACCTCTATGGATTTCTGTGCTTGTTCCACCGTCTCAAACTCTATAAAGGCAAAACCCTTGGAGTCGCCAGTGGACTTGTATCTGGGGATGCTAACATAAACCACATTCCCGCATTTTGTAAACACTCTCTCTATCCAGCTGTGTGTCACATCCTTGGGCAAAAGTTCCTTGTAAAAATTAAAACAAAAAGAGGAAGAAGAAAAGAAATGTGTTACTTTATGATCCAAAAGTATTGTTCACTCTGGCAGGCAGAAAATGTTTGTTCCAATAACCAGCAACACCCTATTCCGTGGAAACTTCACAGATTCAAAATGAACATGTTGCACTTTCAATTAAGTTGTTTATTTATATAAATGTAGTCCAAACGTTTCTGCGAAAATCAAATTAAAATAAGAACATTCTATTTACCACATAGACTGTGCGGCTGTCAACATCCTTTGGTACTTCTCCAATCGGATGCTGACGCCTTACTTTATTTCCCTCTAGGTTAACCTGAAACAGAATAGAAATACATTTGCGTTCATTGCATTCATTTGACATCAGTTTGGAGCCATGCACTACAACTCAAAATATTAAAACATTTTCCGAGAGAAATCATAAAAAAGACAAGATCCGTACCTCGACGACAGATGAATTTTTCAGCGCCCTCGCAATCAGCTTGGTGTCACATGTCAGCTTCTTCATTCGATTGAAGCTCGCCAACACAGATAAATCAACATCTAAAAACAAAAGCACACATTTAGCACACTTTTAAAACAAAATCAAATATCTTTATGTCACAACTTTAATTAGAGCAGGGGCGCAAAACATACGGGCCCGCCAAAGGGCCCACCGGTCCAATAAGGCCTACTGGATGACTGTGCACAGCAAATATTATTGAACTTATGAAGGCTAAGATGTGCAGGTTTCCTGAGCAAGTTAAACATTGAGTAGCTACTTCAGAGGCTTTTCCATTCTGACCCAGATATAATTCTCTGAAAGAACATTCGTTGTGATCATATTTGAAGGCATTGGACACCATGCAAAATACTGTGAATCAGCAGCTGTATCAGACTTCTAGCTTTAAACAAAATTGGTGGAACCTATTGCTAAGGCACTGCCAAAATGTTTGTAAATGTTTTTTCAGTCAGGGGATAACTTAACATGTTTCTTCGATAGCTTCTTCTTTAGTCTGGTGTGGTGATGCCAGCACTACCATACAGGAGTGGCAATGTATGCACATGTGAGTAGTAGACTAAATGTGGGCAAACAGACATATTGTTGAAATTGCACTTGTTTTTCTTAAGATATCTCAGGCTGTTCATCATCTGTTTGTGTGAAAGGATGATGTTTTCAAAATGTATAATACTTACTGACACTGAGAGAAAGATAAACCTTTAGAGTAGCTGTTATTTATAGATTATTCTGCCATGGTTTTACAGGTTGGGCCCAGCTGAGATCAAATTAGACCGTGTGTTGCCCATGAACTAAACTGAGTTTGACACCCCTGCACTAGAGGCTTCGATGGCTGATGTGAATGTAGTGTATTATTGATACAGATGGTCCCTTACATCCATCGTCTGACTCATCGATGAGTTTTTTCAGAAAGCGATCCTTGTGAAGGTTGACATCTCCAAACCAGAACTCCACTTGCTTCTTCACATCGCCCAGCAGCTGTTTGACACGGGACCTCTTCTTCTTTTCTGTGTCCTTGTGCTTACTGCTGGGCTCTGCTGCACCGGCATCACTGGTGCTCCTCTCTGTGTCAATCATCCTGTGGGTGAGACTGCAACACAGGTCTGTGACATGCACAGTTAGAAAACAGCACAGTCAGTAAGCTCCTTAACTGCGTCCATTTCTATGTACATTCATATTAAGACAATGTAAGTGGACTGAGTCACACTGTGTGAAGGGCTGTTACTGGATTATGTCCTTAATTTACACAAAGTCAAACTGACATTTATTATTAGCTAAATGAAAGAACCTTGCCCCTATATGTAGAATCCACAAGTCAATAATGAACACACCCCTTGTATCAACAAATGAATAAGACAGTTACTAAATCTGTTAGCTTCACATTTAATAACTCTTTACAACGTTATCAGAGCCTGCTTAGCTAGCTAATTATGTGTTAGCTATAGCTACCTTTAGCAGGCAGTTGTTGAAGTTACCAAGTCAATTCGCGGGTAGAGACATTTTAAAAATGCTACAGTCATGCCCTCCACATTTCAAAACCCGTCAGCCTTTCACTTCACAGGCGACTGGCTTTATAATTTACAAAACTCACCTTATTTGAAATGAAGAAACGGCCTTATTGCAAACACAAACATAACAGAAAAGGAGTTAGCTCGTTAGCTAACTTCATATGAACGGCATTACCCCGTCCAGTGCAGACGTCGCAGGATACATTCGTCAGTTGAAAAGCAGGGAGAGCAGTTTAAACTACTTCCGGTAAGTAATATCACAATAAAAGAAAGAAAAGAGATGTATGCGTTTGGAGTTCAACATTTTATTTACAATTGTACACAAGTGACAATACATCGGAACAAATTTTGGAGTGTGCATTGACATTCGAAATAAAAATAAATAGAAAAAGGTCAATATCATGAAATGTGTCTATAAATAAACGTTATAAATAGGTCAGTACAACACTACTGCAGTATAATGGATAGTTTCACACGGTTTGTGCTTTTATTTGGAAAAGGAAAATAAGACTTTATCCGAGCTCTACATGTTTTTTTTCCAGTAACGTTACTCGTATTTCATTTCATTTTCAACCGTTACTTTTTTTCTGTACGTAAGGTGTGTGGACACTACGTAACGTTAACAAACGTAACGTTAAGGGACATTTACAAACACGGTGTTACAGGCTTTATCTGGACACCACAGTGAACAAATATGGCATATGTACTTAGTATCAAATCCTGAAAACTTCATTTTTGCAAACATGGCCGGTTAGCTCAGTTGGTTAGAGCGTGGTGCTAATAACGCCAAGGTCGCGGGTTCGATCCCCGTACGGGCCATGACTTACTTTTCCTCTCTGAACACACAACTGATTCTATCAATAGGGCTAACCTGAACCTCCATCACCCAACTGATTACTGCAAAAGTAATGTTATCCTACGCACACACAAATACAACTGTGGATTCCTAGGTCGCCTGGCCACCAACACAGTAAGACATTGTTAATGGGTAAATTTTAAATAACCTAAATCCAGTGTCTTACAAACATCTCATGCCAACATCATCTTCACATAGAATAACGACATTTAGTCTTAAGACATGGAAAACAGACCCATAAATACAAAACATTATGTTAACATCCACACAATGTGAAAGTCAAACATTAGACCTTTAATATATTGTCAATATTGTTTCATTCCAACCAAAATTTAACATCTGCTATATTGACATAGTGACGTCCGGTGCCAGCTGGGTTATGTCTGATGAGTTTTACTTTAAAAGCACGTTTAATTTGTGTCTAGGCAACGTTGGAAGAAGGGTTCTTACCTCTGATTTTGTATTGTTTTTATGCTTTAAGCATGAAGAAGACTTGTCCTGCATGCTTCAACAGTACCCTGTTTTTCCTGTTTGTGCTCCACAATCAATTCAATTCAAAGAACTTTATTTTTCCGTTAGAAACTTCGTCTGTGAAGAGCGACAGTGCATATTAAACAAAATAAATACAAATAGATAAATACAAATGTTAAAAAGTTAAAAATACAAATACAAATATTAAAAGGAGAGAAAAGTTTGTTACGCTCAAAGCATTCTGCGTCAAACAGACATTTGATGTAGCTTATGACTTGAGGTTAGTGATGTCTGTCAGAGATCCAAAATGCCCTCAAACTTTTTGAGCCTCTTGCACATGTCGTCCTCGGTGCAGCCCTCGATCCTGTGCTTGATGAGCTGCGATAGCTGCTTGTAGAAAGTCTTTGCCCACTGGGTTTCTAAGCAGTGCACTGATATGTTGCACACTTTGTGGAGTACCGTCACCAACTTCTCGTTGCTGCTGACCTCACACCTTTTGAAGACCCATTCCCCCCACGCCTCCCACATATCGTCATCTGTGAAGCTCACAGTTATGCTTTCCTGAGTCCTGAAGGACTCTGGGTCTGTGTCAGCCACGTCATTCCATATAGCTCTGTAGGAAAGGGGAATCAGCAGAAGCTTTAGAAAACCCAAACTGTTGGGATATGGATATGAGTCATTTGTTGAGAAAAGTCACACTCACACAACTCTTTTCAGAGGGTTTGGGGTCAAGTCACTAAGTGACAGCAGACCTCTGGAGCTCACTCGGTTTCCCTCCATCCTGTCAAAGCACATAAGACTAACATGTCTTTGACAATGTTTTAAATATTTCACACATGAATAAATCAGCAAACATCAAATATGAAAATCTCTTCAGCATCTCTAACCACTCTGTGACCTACATTGTTGAATGAAAAGGGCCAGATAATCAACTGTAGCCTACTTGGTGCTTCAATAATAAAATCATTTTTTATTCCAATTCAAGAAGAGAACCAATTTTTTTCTGTGTCTGCAAAGACTTTAATTTCCCTAAAATGTTGTGTCATATGGTGATATTAGTCACCAGTGTCTTACCACAATTCTTCAAGCTTTTTCTTCACCCGTATGGCACTAGACAGAGCCAGAAGTTCGTCATCACCGATGTCTGACCATCCAAGTCTAAATTTAAAGTGAGAAACAGTCTGGGTGATTCTTTACTCACTCACAAAAAGAATGAGTGCACTTTTTATATTGGCTTAGTGCTTGTAATATTTCTGTTGAAAAAAAAACAAACATATTTTCTTCTTATTAAGAAAAGCCTGTAAAATCACTTGACATCTTACCCCAGTTGGGTTACATTGTCTGACACTTTCAGCACATCAGCGATGACCTGAACTGTGTCCATGTCGAAGTTGTTTTCTCCAAGCCTTAAAAATGAAATAGCAGAGTTAGCACATAAGCCACATTTTATGTTTCTTATGTGATGTGTTGATACTTTACTATTTGACAGATGCAGAGCGATGTGTGTGACATAAGTGGCAATTCTTGACCTTTTTAGCCTCACCAACTCGGGCAGCCGAGGGAGCTGCATGTGTCTCTGTTTCTGTGCCACATGTCACTGAAACCGAGTTGTGGGATTCAGCCTTCTCTGTTCCCACACAGTAAACATAGACAGCCCAGACAATGTGCTGAAAGTACAGATAAAACACTGTGCGTTTATGCTAAATGTGAGAACTAAGACCATTGTGATGCACAACTGCCTGTATAAGTATCGGTAACTGAACTTCTTGTCTCTGTCCCCTGGCTAAGCAGTGTGGGTGTTATTTGCAAATGTTAAGCTGTATATTGCAATACAACACCAAAGTTCCCCACATGGAACTGCAAAGGCTGAAAAATAAAATAAAGAAAACTCTGTGCGATAGATGTGTGACTCCAGAGACTGAGAGGATGCAATTTTACCTGGAACTCACCAAAGTCTGTCACACCTGAGCAGCAGAGGCTGAATATCTCTGAGTGCCTCACAGCTCACTCCTGTCCCTGTAAGATCCAGCTCTGATATTGTGCCCTTTGTGAGGTTTAGGAAGTACTTGATAGCATTGTAATCCATTTGGGTGAGTGCTCCATCACTAACATTAACTCGTAGTGTCTTTGGTTGCACAGCAAGGGCCAAAGAAGGGTCCTGTTGCTCAAACAGGCAGTGTAAATGGTTTAGGACATGTTCCCCATTCTCACAGAGCATTGTGAGCTCTCTGATGATCTTCTGACGACAGGTGTCTACTTTGTCTTTATGGCAGCACAGCCCCACCTGCCTCGACAGAAGATTAGCATTGCGTTCAGAGAGGATTCCAGACAGGAAGCGGTTGAAAAGGTCTAAATGTCCAGTGTTGGAGCCCTCCCCTGGACTTGCAGTGTACTGGAGTGCATCAGGTAATGGGTGATCTGTCACCGCACAAAAAACTGCAGCAAAGAACTCTTGAACAGTCAGGTGTGCAAAGGAGTAAACTTCTTCAGTGCAGCCAGGCTCTTGCGCCACTGTCTTGTCAAGGAAGGTACTAACAAGGCTGCATCCTTCTAACGCTGCAACATCTTGGTCGCTACTGTAGAAAAGTGTTTGATGCTCTATTAGCTTTTGGAAGGCGAGTCGACCAAGCTTTAGCACGATATCTGACAGCTGGTGGACAGCCCCCGCTTTTTGGTCTTGACGAAATGTTTCGGCTCTTGCTTGAGTGTGAGAGCGAAGTAAGGCCACCAGATACTGCACGTAAATGTCGGTCATGGTCTTAGGGCTCTCTCCACAGAGGTTTTTGCTTTCTTTGAGGATGCAGCACACGATGAAGCAAAACGCAGGTATGTAGCACAGCGTCAGCATTAGCTCATTCGCTGACACCACTGCAAAAATGCGGTCAGCAATGACACTGTCCTGGAAGTAACGTAAAAAGAAGTCCTGAACTTCAGCCAAGGAGAAACCAGCGATGAGGACAAATCGGTCAATACAGCCCACAGGGATGTGGTCGATTGCTGCTGGTCGACTTGTCAGCATGACGGAAGCATTCGGCAGCAGTTCACCTTGCAACAGACTCCCAAGGACCTCCACCACCTCTGCATCTTCATCTGGCTCAGTTACAAATGCATCTACGTCACAGCTCCTGTAGTGTCTGAACTCGTCAAAGCCATCCAAGATGATCAGCAGTTTGTTGTCATTTGCTAAAATGTTATCCAGTTCCTTAGCAAGGTGCCTGTTTTTACGCAAGACCAGGTCCCGGAGGTTTGTCGGTTTGTCGATCAGATTCAGGTCTCTGAACGTCATGTGGATAATGAAGTCAAATGCAAGATGTTCCCTGTTTCCCCCAAAATCGAACAGCATCTTCTGCACCAGGATGGTTTTTCCGATGCCGGCCACCCCTGACACCAGAACTTTCTTAACCGGACGGTTTCCATGTGTGCTTGAAAAGAGTTCAGCTGGTGTGATTTTCCTATGCACTGCTGACTTCTGCTGCAAAGATAGTCGCTTTTGTCCAAATGTCAGCACCTCGTGTCTTTTTATCTCCAAGCCCTGGTGTCCATCAGCCAACAAGAGATTCACATAGTGTTCAGCAAAAAGGATTTTCTCTCCGTGTCGAGTATTGTAGAAGAGCATGCTCTCACTTCGGCGTGCAAGGACATCTTTATGCTTTCGTTTGACTTTGTTATACTCTGCAAAAGATGAGATTATAATTTGTCTCATACACTACTTATACAGTTTATATGAACAATGCAATGCTATTCCAAATGTTTAACTCTTAGCGCTATTCACACTCCAAAAACGATCTTAAATGACATCTCTGTGGTTTGAATTGCTTACCTTCGGATTGAGGCTGATCTGTGTTGCCTTCATTGGAGTGCGACTGTACCTCTTTCTGATGACTGCTAATTGAGAGAAAAATCTCAGCTGCTTCCTCGCCTTTACATGTCAAGATATCCAACACCTTTCTCACTCTTGCCCGAGGCCCCAACAGACACAACACCTCCTCACGGTCATCACGAGTGAACACCTCCCGACTTACTAAGATTTCCAGCAAAGAGTCGATCCGTCCTTCCAGTTCATCCACGAGGGAAACTCGCAGAACCATGAGTGCTGTCAGACAGGAATTACAACCATCCTTTTCCAGCATAACTAATCTGAAATAATCAACAGCACAGAGCAGAAAGGTCCAGTTATGATCTGCTGATGGTGCAAATGTGAGATGTGGCGTCTAGATTCAAGTTGTAAAGCAGTATCTCCGCATAGGGATCCCATAAATGCATTTCTGTCTTCAAGCGCTGAGAAATAGAAAGCCAGCTGTATATAGTAGAAAGAGAAAGAGGAAGTGCTTTTCTGCTTTGAAGAACAGTGTGGCAACAACACATGAACCTTTGATGTCTTGTTCTGCTGGTTCATGGCGGGACCTCCCATTTCAATATTTTTGGTGATGAGGAAGTGAGAATTACCAAAATAGTGTGAAGGTTTGACAGAAATGCCGCTTCAATAATCATGCAAATTTGGGAACTTTGACTAGATAATGCAGATTTATTTTAAAAGAGAGAACCACAACAAACAGATTGTAAAAGGAATGTATTTGGTTTTATTTAATGATAAATCAGGCATGAGCAGGAAGCAACACATCAGTTCACCAGCAGAGGGTCCCCATTGCATGCACATCAAATACCAAAAAAACCTCTAAGGAAATTAATACTTAATAGCCACCCCTGTAATTATTTACAAAACTATGCACAAGAACACAAATGAAAATAAATAGTTAATAGGACAAAACAAATATCTACATAACTTAAGAGCATAAGTAATATGTTAATCATGTTTGTCTTTTACAAAGTAAAATAATCACACCTAGAAAGTCCAAGTTATCAGCTAAGGTATGTGTTGCACTTGATGATGCATTGTGGAACTCAGGACATAATGTCAAAAGTGCAAACCCTGCCTATCTGGCACAAATATGGTTTTCATTAATAATGACTATAAACAATTCCCTCTTGCTTCAACCAATATCCAAGTGTAAAACAGAGTTAATATTTACATGTTTTAAGTTCAACTAACACTGAAATCTGTCCAAGAAAAAAGAGTTACACAGGAACTGTCAAATGTAACTGTTTTTTTTCCCCTAAAATGTCGCACTAAAGCAAAAATATAATTTGTCGGAGAGAGTCATAAAGTGGTTAAAAGGGACGTTTATCAAATATCTTTGCAAGAAATCACAAAACAAAATATATAAACAATGTAACTTTACAAACTAAAACAAAAAACAAACTCAACAAGCCATGTTCTTAACAAAGACTTGGATGAGTTGAGTGCAAAATAAGTGTCTTTTTTCCAAAAACTGACTTGCTTCAGTCATACACCTCCATAGTGCAACCCATGCAAGATAAATCTTTATCATTTCCTACTTTTTAATAATATGAAAAATGCAGATTTCCTTTTTAAACACGTGCTAAATTGCTCAAAAATGATAACACAAACCATAATCTATTTCCCATGTGGTTGATACCAAATGCACTGCATATAATGTATGAAAAATAGAAGGCTCTTTGCCAGTTCCCATTTATATGCAACATTGTGCTGTGTTTAAACAACAGTCTACCCATGCATCTATCATAAAATCTCATTTAGCATCAAAACCATTTATCAACACTGTTTTGGAGACCATTGCAATAAAGGCAAGCACACAACTATCCAGTGGTTATCAAAAGCTCAGGGGTCTAGCCAGAAACCCTGGGTATGAAGTCAATCCATGAAAAACAGGTGTATTAATCACATATTTATAAGGTGAATTGCATGATAATATGCACCCTGTTTTGGAGATGAAGTGAGGGTGTTACAATGGTGGTGGCGGTGCAGCATTATCATTCCATTCCTTAAAAAACCCTGAAACTACACCAGTTTTTTTATGACTTCCCCTTTATGAAACACTGCAGTCACAAATTTCTATTACTCACAATGGAAATGTATCTTAGTTACGTTTGCATAATCTAGGAAAGCTTCGTGACCGTCAGATTTTTAAAAAAAAAAAAGAAGTAAAACTAAAGCCTTCATTAGCAGACACTCCTCTCAAAACTTTCAAATTCAAACCAACACACAATATCTTTGAGGAAATAAGATCACAACCACTCGAGGTATGATCATCCAAACATTCCTCCACACTCAGGCATCCCCAGCCAAGACTGATCATTGAAGACAGTTGTGGGTGTAAGGATGGGGCATTGAGGTTTCAAGTCTCTGTCGGCTGTTGGAGCATCTTTCTGACCTATCAAGATCGTCCATGGCCCTCGTTTTACGTCCCAGTCTCAGGTGTTTTGGCAGGAATGACAGCAGCGACTCTTAAACTGGGGCAGCGGACAAAGCTCTAGCTGTCGAACTTTTTCGCAGTACCTCGTGCTGTCTCGACACTCTCCTGCTGCAATACACAGATGTTACATTTTACTACACATAGTCATTTTAAAGGGGTGGTTCAGGTTTTTTGAGGTGGGGCTGTGCGTGGTACTTATCCATTGACATAATATTACATACAGGCTAAAATACATTTTGTTGTTGAACCCCATCCACAACAGTACATTGTTTAGCTTCCATGTCAGACTCAAGCCTCCTTCTCCAAACTGGGGGCATTCTGACTGACGTCTACTGTAGGTAATACACTGACTATGGATGAGCACCCCATACAACCCCACTTCAAAAAATCTGAACTATCCCTTTAAGCCTCTCCTCGAGAGAGAGCATCAAGAGGATTTCCTTTTAAATGCTTTTGTTAAAGGGATCATCCTTCAGCAGTTACTAAAGCCAGCACAATACAAGAAAACAAGGTTCGGAAATCTTCTTTAATCTTCTGGGGTAAAGGGTCAGTTTACAAAAATCTAAAATATTCTCTTAGTGCAGGCCTTGTAGTATCGAGCCTTGCAGTTTTATGTGAAGTGGTTTCAAAGAACCAACTCTTCTACACAAATATAGAGGTTAGTTGAATATCATGACAAATTTCAGACATCAACAATTCCTCCCTGAGATAATATCTGAAATGTAAGCTGTATTTATAGGGATTCGTTCATCAAATGTAACTGGGATGTTGTTTTCAGGATTACCTGATGCCGGAGAAATTTTAAATAGTATTTTTTTACTTCCTAAGTACCACATGCAAAATTACTTTCACTTGTTTTGTATTGGGGTGCCAGCAAAAATTGCAGAAACAGATGCTTCCAGACCTCAGCACATAAAACCCAAACTATGCATTATGGGCTGGGCCCATTAAGGGAATGTAATGTGCCATGATGGAGCTTATGCAAAAAATATTCTGGCAATAATATTTTTAATTTAATAATCTAATTTTAATTCCAATTTTAGTTATTCTTCCACTAGTTTATTTAGGGCAAGACCTCAGAAATACACCATTAATGTGGTCATGAAATCGGCTGGGACTAACGACAACCAGCTGGTACTACACTGAGGTTATTTTCAGTATTTTGACCTCTAAAATATGCTTTTCAGAGGAAAATTTAACCATCAACATATGCAGTTATATCATTTTGAATATGCTATACAACATATAATAAATGCAGGATCATTTTATATTCAAAATCACAATTCAGAAACTGCTTGTCTGTGTCGCTGTTTTTTCTCACCTCTGCCACAGGACAAAATATTGCATCGCTGCCAGCTGGGAGGGCGCGGCTTCCACATGCAGTGATGTTCACGTGTGGCCTTTCCAGTTCGACGGTGGACGCAGGTCACCTGGCGTGACTGGAAACCGTGCCGTCCACAGGTGGCAGTGCACTGCGTCCACGGCCCTACACGCCAGTGAAGGGCACAGGCATCTGTGGAGCAATTCTTTATAGAGCTGGGCCTAAAAATACAAAGACGCATAAAGAAAAGGGTCAAAAAAAGTCCTAAACACTCCAGTGAGTGGCTTTTTCACTGAAACATGAGATATTGCTGCAAGTTTTATTGTTCATCAACATCATAAATCACAAACTGTTAATCCATATTCACCTCTGGAGTCCACTGCACATCCTGTAGGGGAGTTTGGTGGCATTGTTGTCTTGGCAGTAAACATGGCGGTGCTGTGTGGCCAAACTGGGACCCACACATTGACCGTGACACTGAAAGAGGAGATTTCATCAAAAGAAAATACTTGCCTGCTATCAACTCTCCCTCATGTGGCTTTGGCATTTTCAAGCCCACACACTCTCATTGAATTTCAAGTTTTAAATCTAAACTATGCCTCATAATGAAAGCATTTAGTTTGTATTTCGAAATGGGAGCTACTTTTTTTGCAATAAAATGCAAAACAGGGGAATTCTCATAAAACACTTAGGGAAAATGTGATAGGGTTACCACAGAGAAGAGGTGACTTCCCTAACTACAACAAATATTTGACTATCAGGAAGGACTGGCAGGGTGCTTCCCCTTTACAAAACTGGGTAACAAAGAAACACTGAAAGCACTGGTTATTTGGTTACCAGCTCAAATGAACTGACTAAGAACAGGCAAACAGTTTTTGAAGTAAACTGTGTTTTGCACAGCTTTGACAAAGCCCAAGTACATGTGTTAAGATGTGTTTGTGTTCAGAGTGAATCGACTCACCGCTCCCCAGTGGGTAGTGGCCCATCTGGCACAGGGCTGTAGGTTGCATAGCCTGGTGTCAGAGGGTCTCCTCCCTGTGCCGAGGCAGTGCTGGCCCTCCACCTCTCTTGATTTGCCCTCAGGACCCTTCATGCAGCGGACACTCCTGGACTGGGACCCACCTCCACAATTGGTTGAGCATGGAGACCAAGGATCCATTCGCCACCTAATCAAAACCACAGAGGAAAAGTAGACAATAACTAATAACGTATATCAGAAACAATTCAAGTTCTCAAAAGAAATTGGAATGCAAGCAAAGGAGACAGTCAGAACTGGTATTATTATGTAATATTCAAAATATCCAACTGGGTAAACATGTAGTAACAGAAAGGTACCTGAGGGGGCAGGATTGTCCATGGCACAGCTCAGCTGACTGGTTACTGTTACTCCTCTCAGAGCAAATAGGGCCATTTGTTCCCATACCATTACCCTGGACACAGTTTCTTCCTTTGCCACCTGAAATTAGATACT